AACAAGTACAAACACATCTCTTCAAGGACTCCTTCACACCCAGACTTGTCACCCGAAATCCCCGAAAAACACTAAAGCTTGACGGTCGAACTGCGGAAGAACGCAGTGGACCCAGACTGGTCCAGGTCCACTGGGGTCCCCACGCTCTGGCCGTCCACGTTCAAAGAATTGGCTGGCGATCGTGGGCGGCGGGGAATTCCCACGCTTGGGAAGCACCTGAGGGCGACACTCCGGGAGCACTGGGAAAGTCAGAACTAACACTGGTGTAAAAGCCCTGGCGATGGTAGCCGTAGCCACAACCCATGTTGGATGGCCGAATTGGCCCCATTGTCTTGACACAGAACATGTGGAGTTGAAACTCAGCTTGGTCACAGAAGGAGTGACTAGCAGTCCTCCTCATTGTTTCATCTCAGATTCCCTGCATTGCAGTGTCATGGGTCACGCATGATGCTCCCTGCAGCGTGGTTCCCCACAGGCCGATTACGCATTGCCTTCTTGAGAAGCTCTTTCTTGCCTCGCTTCTCGCGTCCTCCACGGAAAAAGCAGCGTTGAGAAAGGACGATATTCTCCAAGTCTGCCAATCATTGCATTCCCAAACCATCCATGTATGGCCTGTTTACTGTCGTCGGGGTGTAGGCATACATGGGATTGGGACCGTGCCTCACTTGAATGCAAACTTCTGCCAGTTCTTCCGTCGCAACGACGGCCTTGAATTCCTTCCCCGCTACGACGGAGGCCAACATGGAATCCTATGCAGAAGACTCAGAAGACAAACTCGAAGGTTGGGTGAAACGATTGCATACATACATCATATGATATAAGATATAAACAAATGATATATTGGGTCTATCCTAATACCTCAGTTGCAGGTCTTGTTCACAAATAGTGATCATTGTTTACTGACTGTTACAGGTAATAGGACAAACCCAATTGATATATGTATTGAATCCAGAACATCGGAATTTTGCAGCCCGCCCTCCTGGGCTCCTTGTGTTCCATCACCTGAGATAGGGGGTTGAAAACCACCAGCTGTTTCACTTGCTGATCGCTCCATCTTTCTGTCCTGGAGCTTTGGAGTCTTCGGTCACACGAAACTCGTGTAGTAGGAGTGGCTCTGAGGCCGGCCTCAGCGACCAGCGCTGCGAACTGGCTCGGTCAAACGTGACCAGCTCGGTCGAGCGGCCGTCCCACGAACCGTTGACTAGAAAGTTGGATTCCAATGTGCACAGTAGTGGCACACTGAGAGGAGCAAAATGCTACTTGTAACAAAGGGCATCGCTACTAGGAGGAAGGACGCTACTAGTAGCTCCTGGCACTACCACTGGGAGCAAGAAGCTACTAGTAACTCAGGAAGTTCAAATAAGGTCTTTGACGCTTTTGGCGAGCATCTTAGTGGCACTCACCACAAAGCAGTCTCCATCCGCCGCTGCTTCATGTTCTATCTTTTGACGCTTGCCTCAATTGTCAAGCGCAGTGAGCGTCTTCCAAGAGTGACCTGTAGCTAGATATCGTGTCTGGATTGGGACGGACGCCTTCCAAAATCAGAGCTCTTATATGATTTGTTTCGCTGGAGGTCGAAGTCGTAACGAAATCCACTTTTGGTCTTTCACGGCACCAAGGTTTGACCATGATTTGTTCTCAACTACGAAGTACATATTTATTATTAATATAATATTTGTACACATTTCTGCAAAGCAAGCATCGCAAGCATCACAAACACCAAACAATGTGTCTTGATGCAGCTCAAGCGCTTCACCTTGGACCTACCAATACATAAATCAACATATTCAAAAAAGCTCTTGAACGGGCCCCCACACTCCCCGATCCTAAACCATCAATTCTCCAAATCATTGCACCAACTTCGAGCACTTTTCTGAAATGAGGCAGCAGCCCTGCACCCAGGTAAAAGGCACTGCCGCATTCCCCCCAAAATTCCCCAGCAAGCGCAACCCACCCCATGCTCTCTCTTCAGACATAGCACGGGACACGCGCGCCAACAGACCGGAGGGACTGGAGCTGGAGCTGAAGGTCTGGTGACTCCAGTCTATGCCTCGCTCGCCTGGAAGGGATGGATCCAGGTGCTTGGAGGCGCAAGCTGATCAAGTGATAGAAGCGTCAAGCTGATCAAGTCTGATCTTTATCAACTCTGAAGGTGACCAGACTCAGTCTCTGAATCGATGGAATTTCTTGTTTCGCACTCGATCCCCACAGTCACGAGGCAATGACGTAGGGTCCACAACCCTGTTTGGGAACCTTCTTGTGGATCCTTTTTGCTCGGGCATTTGTTCGTGAGTTGGTCTTGTATTGCACAGGCTTCTTCCTCCACAGTACGCTCATGAGATTTCACAGATCAGAAATGACATGAGGATACCCTTGATATCACTTGATGGTATAGAGCAAGCAGGGCAGTATCCAATTGCTTGTGGCCCCACCCAAGCAGTATCCAAATGCCTGGCCGCCACTCCGGTGCCTCGTGGTACCTCCCGTGCCGTGCCGTCCTACGTCCCCTTCACCCCCCTTCCGTCGGAGACGCCGGTCGTTGAGCGAAGCGAGGTCGGGGTCGCATTGCTCACACTCCCATGCAAATAGCCTCAGGGTGATGGAATCCAAAGATGGCCTGATATGCCAAGTTCTTCCACTTCAGAGATTCAGTAACCCAACAAGAGCATGGTGCGAGTCAAAAGGGGGGCTGACCTTCAAGGCAATTGCTAGGCAGTTTGACATCATTTGCGGTGAACAAAGGAAGCAAGTAGCTTTCCCGAGATGAAATTGACAAGCCTCGCGTGGTGCCCTCCTGCTTCTTATGCTTGTGCAGCCTTCAACCATGGAAGTGGACAAACCCAAAGTAGTCAATTGAATGATTGTTGCAGGGATGCATATATCTATACGGGCCATACACCTTTGAAACCCTAAAGAAGGCAAAAACAGTAGATCAGCAGTGGTCAGCATGATGTGCAACATTTAAGTAATACAGTATCCGCTCCTTGCTGTCTACTGGAAACAACGGCCCATCCACCGGTAACTATACAGGACGATCCTGTTTTGACCTTTTGCATTATCAATCGTCTCCATCTATGAGGAAATTGCAAGGCGTACCTCGCATATACACACACATATACACCCAGGCCCAAGCACACACACAACAAAAAGCAAAACAGCGAGTGTTGCTTTCACCCGTTCGGCTGCCAGGAAGCCAAAGATGTCGCTGGAATCCAATTCCTGATGCATCAGGGCACCGGCTCGGGCACCGGCTCGAGCCGGTCAGGGCCGACTCGGAATCCATCCGCCGAGGCGAAGCAAGGCCAAGCCAAGCATGTGTGAACGGGAAGGGGTCCACCACTGGGGAAAATGCGTTTCACTGGTGGATGAAATGTGATGGATTTGACTTGGTGACGCTTGGTTTCTTGCACCATGACACCGAATGCCTGAAGACTGTGGTGCACAATGGTCGAATGCATGAGCGTTTCTGATCCATTCGGCCCCAGATCTTTGTATTCCTTCCGCGTGGCTGCCTCTGCCCCATTAAAATTAACAAAAAACCTGGTCCAAAAGCAGCTGTTGCTGGTGGGATCGCCTTGTCTGTCCGAACTCGCATGGTGACATGGTCTCCATTGTTCTGCGGTTCGATTCCTTTCTGCCAGAACTGAGCCAAAACCACGGCGGGATGGCACACCTGGCCTCTCCAAGCAATTTTGGTAGGACACGTCCAGAGGTTCAGCACGGTTGCACAGCAATGTTCCGCAAGCTGCCAAAAAATGGTTCCCAATTCACCTCACCCTTTTCACTGGCCAATGTTTTCGAAATCTCCCCAAAGAAAGCACTAGGGACCCCAAATAAGCGGTCCCTTGACTGAAAGTCCAGGGTCCCCCTATGTTCCCTGTCTCAAAACTCTCATTTATCTGGATGACGGCCCTCCCGTAGCCCCACCTGATAGAATCGACATGACTTGTGTGCCGCAAGCAGCATTTCCCACTCTCAACCGTGCACCCAAAACCCTGCCCTGGTGGAAGCCGACCCCCTCTGCAGAGCAAATTATCACATGGCCACATGGCCTACCCGGCCAAACCTCCGATGGGGTTGTCCAGTTTCGGCCAAATTAGCCATCAACTTCCATCTGCAGTGATCAAATCTGCACATTTTGGTCGTGCGAGTCGTGCCATGAAAAACTGAACACACTCGCCCGAGAAACCACACCATTCCGCCCAAGAAACCGCGGCGGTCTCGAAAATCTCATGCTTCGCGAAATCTGCGCTTGGCATGAGACACATATCCCAATAGTATTCTCACGCGGCCACAAGTCAAACGAAAGCCTGTGGTCGAGCAGTAGAGGACATCCCAATATTTAAAAAAACAACACACACCCGAACAGGGCCGAGGTGTTCCGGCAAAGCGCATCACGGTCTTTTCGTCGATTCTCGGCCGCGGCCGTGAGTCTATCATGAAACCCAGGCTCACGCAGAAAACAACAAAGGCAGACCAACGGTTTATAACGAATTCAATACACAATTCTATTTTCATCAACCAAATTAGCCGATGATTCGTTTAAATTGATTTCATTGAAGTGACACACACGCGCACACACATGACACACACACACACACGACACAAACATGACACACACACACTCTGAGGGTCATAGCTGGTACTTTGCTATGCCCTAGACTTCCAAGACCATTAAACAAATGGTTGACCTGGTTTTTGTAGTGTCTGTAAAATCCTTATATAGTTGATTCGGTAAAGCCTATTAAATAAATAGTAGCCTTGTTTTTTGATTCAATTCAGGCGTGCCCCAATCATCTGTTCAAAGGAAAGGTGTGCCCCACTTTGAGTGTTCGACTCAGCTATATCAAGAGTTCAATTGACCTTCAGTTGAAAAACCATCTGCGAGAGACAAAATGCAACGCCAGGGGCAAGAACAATCGTGTTTTCCATGCTTTGCAGGTTTATGATATTTTATGATGGTTTAGGTTTATGGTTCAACCAGTCTTGATCCTCGTAACCATAGCTGCTTGAGCTTGCTTGGGTTGCATTATCTGCTCAACCGGCCACCAAACTCAAAGCCTGTGCTTCGAGATCCTTCTGCCCCCCCCACTGTGAAAAACTCGCTTTGGGCTATTATATCGTTCATCACTCGCTTGAGTCGTTCCAACAGCAGCGGACGGTGGGGGGCGCCAACCGGCACCTAGCGAGCTCAAGGTGGAGGCTTAAAGCTTGGAGGCTCCTCCCACTGGGTCAAGTTGGTCTCCTGGAGAGGGCGACACCAGAAAGACATGTTGCCACGGGAATTTCACCTGTTGCCCGTGCAGAGTCGATGTGTCTGGGTGAAACTCAACCAACGTGTGAAAGCCTTTCGCAGGCAACATCTATGCCGTGGATGCTTATGGTTGTGTCATGTTGTATATCTGAACCTGTTGAGGATAGTCAGATATCCATGGTCGGCCCCGAGAAGCATCGGAGGGATGGGGTCCAATCCTTGAAACCACTTAGGCCCAGGTCACGTGCTCCAACCTGCTGGTAGGGGCGATTCATCCCACTTGCTCTCTGCAAGTGACAAAGTTTACCGTACTCTCAAGCGAGTGGAGATCCCAAAAACATGTACTTCACATGTTCCTCAGTGAAGTTGGTGTCTTCGGATGCCTTTAGCGGCTTTAGTCTTAAAGTCTTAACGGACTACCAACCCCATGTCCTGGCAGTCCAGCAAAGAAAAACCTGGACGTTGTCACATCAAAGACTCAAGGTCACTGAAAAACATGACTGCCAACTGCCGACTGCGCATTATCTTCAGATATCCTCAGAACCGCATTCCTTCGCATTGCTTAGTGACTTCTGTGTTTGCTTGACCTGTTGACGAGGTAAGGGCCATAGCCACTTCTGATCTCCGGTCCTGATTCCAATAGTAGTACGCCTTGTGCTCTGCAGAATACACCTGTTGCCATACCGTTGGCGGTGTGGGCGGTGGTGTAGGAGCAGCACCTGAAAGCTGGAGCGGCTCAGCCACACCGGTGTACAGATCCGGACACGAACGACAGCCAGTTGGATGCAGGAGTTCACTTTCGCTCAGGGGAGCAAACAACAAGCGAACGAAAGAAACATACCCAGAAAGAAACCACAAGCTCAGGGCCCCTCAGGGCCTACATGGGCCGGCCAACCCGAGGGCCACTTTGATTGACACTCCAGCGAGGTGGCCTGTAGGCTTGGATGGTTCCACGTCCTCAGTGATCTTTCGAATCGGAGTAGCGTCCTCCTTGGCCCTCCATCCATCGGAGTGGGTCACTGGGAGTAAGCCCCTGCGATTCCAAAGGCATGGAATGGAGATCCCATTTCAGCAAAGCACCAAAACACGGGTCCTGGAATCTGGAAACGACTAATTACAAGCATTGAAGCATTGTTTGCTTCGGTCTTCGTCCGTTTTCTCTCACCCCAAATCAATCCCTCAGGTTTGAGCGGTGAGTGCCTTTAACAACGCGCTGTGAATCAGAATCGAAACCCAATTCAAGCAAAGCATTTAATGCCGTCAACTGCAACACGTTGCGCAGTTTGGTCTCACAGCTTCACTGTCTTCACCAGATTCCTTTTGGGCGAACGCAGATCCCGAAATCATCGGAAATCCTAGTACTTGAGCCTCTTCCACCTCCGGATGAAGCAGAACATCTCCCTTCGCCCGATGATCCCACCAAACAAGGTGAGAATCTACCCGACCCGATGATCCCACCAAGCGGCGGCCTGTCTCTGCGTCTCAGGCCTGTGACGGGCGCCCGTTTTGGTCTCACGAACCCGCTGGGAACCTGCGACCCGCGACTCGGCGAACGACGATCCTCGGCGCCGCGGTTCGAAGGGTTGCGGCGCACCTTCTCGTCGTCGCCTGTTGCCTGGCGACCGAAGGATCCCAAAACACCGCGAAGATCGCAGAGTACGGTGGCCCAGTTGTTGAAGTGGCGGTGGACCAAAGGGCCACCAGCTGGCTCCCGATATAAGCTGAGCTCGCTCCATTCTAGAGACCACAAACAATAAGATTGAATACGAAGTGCATCTGTTTGTTTATTTGCGTTTGTTTGTTTGTTTGGTTGGTTGGTAGGCTGGGTGGTTGGTTAAGAATCTGCACCGTTACCAACACAAGAGGCATGCTCCATTCAACTCAATGGTGGGAAGTCATGGGGTCCTAACGGTGTTGCTGGCAGGCGAGCTGGTCGCTCTTGTCAGCAGTTCCTGTTGCCAGGTTGTAGCTCAAAACGGGGCCTCGCCGCCTCGCCCGTAGGAAATGAGAACCACTCACACACCCCAAGCAGTATGCTTTTCCACCTTCAAGCGACGGTGCAATCCGACTAGTAGGCAACCTTCCAGGGCCCTGGCCAAAGGCTGGAGAGTTGATCGTTGGACACGGAAGCATTTCTCTCTTCGATCCTCAGAGGCTCAGTAGCCCGGTGAGGCGAAAGAATGGATGGATCGACGAAGACGAACATGGATGGATCGCCTTGATGTCAGGAAACCCTCTGGGTTGACCAAAACCCATGTACGACCGACCTCTGGTTGGTCCCTGGAGACGGGTAAGCTGCCACAGCAAAAAGACCATGGGCGTCCGACCTCTAAATGGATTGGGTACAACCGGGCTGTAGTTGTGTTGTGATTGAGTTTCCTGTCCGAACGGTCGTTGTCGGAGTCGTTCGCAAACCTTGATCAGCGTGAGCTCGAGCGATTCAGCGAAGCGATCATCGGAGGGATCGACTCTATCGACACTAAGAAGTCACTCAAATATAGTTGCAGGAAGTCTTGTCCAAATGGACACCTCATTCTTTGGCTTGCCTGGAGCCAGTTCAGCGGCCGAAAGTGGTGGAATTGGAGACTTCCTGGTGGCAACTCGTAGATTGGCGACTCCCCTCTTGTGGTCGAACTTGCTGTGACCAAGACTCCACGAAAGCCATGCAGGCCATTTGGATTCCACGGAGGCGCCTAGGGGCCGGCCGTCTCTTGTGACACCCGAGCGAAGGGACAGCGAGAATCGGCCATGGTGCCCCATTGGGAGGGTGCACCGTGTTGAACTAAGTGCTCTTGGAACTCTGTTATCCTATGTGTTCCTATATGCATACCACTGCAGTTAACACTGCATAGGCTCCACAAAATAAGAACAACATCCAATTGATGCCCTTCCCCGGATGTGAAAGTTGATGGGATCTGAGCAAAGGATGCCTATAGTCACCTATATATACGTTTTATCTTCTGCCTCAAACATTGAGGGCCCAGAACGGGTGTCCTCTGGGCGTTTCAAACTCTGTGCCCGAAGTCCATTTAGCCATAATCTAGTCCATCTACTCTCGCAGGACTAATTCAATTGGAAGAACTTCCAAGAACTTTGCCATGGTAAGGTGACCACCCTGGCGAACACTGCGAACACTGGGATGCTGCTCCAGGCGGCTGTTGCGCAAGGTCTCCGCATTGCCAAAAACGATGAGGCCTTGAAAAAACCGAAGATGATGATGCTGAAGACCGATACGATGTTGAGGTTCTTGGAATACTAATATGCATCATGGGATTTGAATGAATCTGCCCTCCCAAATGCAAACCATTGGGCCAAACCACCCATGCAAACGAGGTGACTCGGGTGGCTTAACACCCACCGCGAGTGTGTGACCACACCCTCCCATTAAACATGACTACTGTTTACCTTCGCCAAGGTTTGCCATCCGTTGTGCATCTGGCAGTTGTAGCCAGTCCCCCACCCCCAACACAACGGGAGCCAAAGCGGACAAATTCTCCAAAAGCAGTTCAGGACCACAACCATTTTCACTTGGTAAAAGCTCCCATTTGACACCATTTGGATTGCAAAACCTCGTCATACATACCACCGGTATTTTTGAATGAATCAAGAGGTCAAAAGAGTCTACATTAGCCCACGCGGTCACTTGTGGGAACGTGCACTACGTCCGACCGAAAACGGCCGCACCTTGCTTGGCACGTGTCAGCATCACATTCATCCGACGGTTGTCAGCTAAGAATCCTGCGGAACCAACGACCAGTGCCACTGCGGACCAAAGTTACGGCCAAGTTAGAAGGTGTGAAGAGGTTCGTGTTGCAGGCCGGCTTTGCTATGTAACAAGGGGGGGTCACCAAGGAACATGAGCCAAACAGCACAATGAAACACTCACTCACAGCACAAAGCACTTGCCAGTGAGTTTCCGAACTGTGAATGCTACAAAACAAAAGGGGCTTTGCTTCATCAGGCCATTGGAGGAAGATATTCTGGCTAACAAGTCCTTGCAAAATCACAAAACCCGTCTGAACCATGGCTTCCTGTGAATCAGTTTTGCGTCAGCAATGTCTAAATACATGTTCAATGCTGATTGCATATTGTTTAAATAACTCTATACATATATTTATGATACTTATTGATACTTATTGTGTATATAATGACGCAGTGAAACTTAGAACACGTTTTAAATAATGGAACATCAAAGGGGACAAAAAACACTATTTTAGAACATGAACAACTTAGAACATGCTCTAGAACATCACCGCTCAATTTGTCCCTAATGTTCTAAGTGGATGGCTGTGATGTTCTAATCACATGTTCCTCCCAAGGCCTCATGCAATATACATAACTTGAAATGTCCGCTGGATCCTAGGAAGCCAGTTCCTATTGATTCCTGATGTCCTTTTGAATATCTGATCGATTTCCTTGAAAATTATGTTTGATTTCTATTGATTCCTTTTGGATTTCCTTTTGTCCTTTTGATTTAACTTCCTTTTGTTTCCTGTTGATTTCCTTTTGACGTCCCTTTAAATTCCCTTTGATTCCTTTTGGTTTCTACTGATTTCCTTTTGGAATCCTATGGTTTTTCATATTAAATCTATTTTTGTCCTATGGATTTCCTTTCTGATGTCCATTTGAGTATTGATTGCCATGTTGCATATATATATATATATATGCATTCACCCCTTATATACCCTTATATCTACATGTTGAGGTTGTTTAGTTCATGGTGCATGTTCTATGTTGTTTGTTCAGCAGCTGATTGACCAATTTAATACAAAATCCTATTGATTTCCTCTAAATTTGTTTGATTTCTATTGGTGTCCTTTTAAACGTCTAGTGAGTTCCATCTAAAATCCTTTCGATGCCATTGATTTCGTGTTGAATTCCGTTTGGTCCCTACGGATTTTCTTTTGGATCCCTCTTGATTCCTTTTGATTTCCCTTTAATTTCCTTTTGATTTCCGTTCAAATTCCTGTCAACCATTGATTTCCTTTTTGATTTCCTTGTAGATCCCTCTTGATGTCCTATATATAGAACACTCCTTATATATACATCTTCAGGTTGGTATGGTCATGGTGCATGTTCTATGTTTTATGTCCGGCAGCTGATTCAATGATTTTAGACCCATGTTCTAAGTTGGTCTGGTATAATATTCTAAATCCAGCACGCTATGATTTGATGATCTAAATTTACCCCCTTTGTGTTCTAACTTCTGAATTTAGAACTTCAAGACCTGCATATGTTTTTTTCCACAGGAAAACGACTTGATACCCTGTTGCCACAAACACCTTTCCTCCAAACCTCTCTAAACATCTCTAAACCTACTCTAAACAATTAGAGTGAATTAGAGTGGGTGAGAGAAACGAGCATGGGGACATCCCCCGTTATGGCGAAGCAGCTATGTTTCGTAGAGTAAATTTAAAAAAATTATAGTTTAGAGTACAAATCTAATTTTTTAGAGTGCTACTCTAAAGCTTTAGAATAGTACTCTAAACCTCTCTAAAGCTCTCTGAAAAATTAGAGGAACAGGGTCTGTGGCCAGAAATAGCTTGTGTAGCCTGAGATTCCTCTAGCTATCCCAAGCTAATTCTAGTGGAACCCAGTCCACACAAACAGAATTAGCTTGGGATAGCCAAAGGAATCTCAGGTTACACAAGCTATTTCTGGCCGCAAACCCTCTTCCTCTAATGTTTTAGAAAGGATTAGGTAGGTTTAGAGTACTATTTTAAAGTTTTAGAGCACTCTGTAAAGTTGCACTCTAAGCTACTCTTATATTTTAGAGTGTGGCTTTGAAACTCCTAATTCTTGGTGTGGGGATCCACTCCAATTGGTGAGAGAATGAACTCAAAATCATGAGTCAATGAAGGACACTCCAAAGTTATCTAATTTTTAGAGTGGTTTAGAGTTTAGATCATCTAAGATTTTCAGGAATGAATGTGTGTTTAGAGTGGTTTAGAGTGGTTTAGAGCAGGTTTAGAATCGTTTAGAGTAGGTTTAGAGTAGTTTAGAGTAGGTTTAAAGTACTTAAGAGTAGTTTAGATACATGCAAATGAACAGGGTCTGTGGCAACAGGGTATCAAGCGTCTTTGCTTATTCTTTCACTGCGTCGTTATACGCATGTATAGAACGAATGACTTGTCCGACGCCAGCTCGCAGGGTTCGTCCGACGCTCTGGCACTGCGGTGTTCGCTCCTAGGGCATTGGACTCATTGCTGCGGGTGGCGCTGAAGAGGACCAAGCCTTGCTCCATGCCCTGGAGGTGACGAGAAAGGATGAGAAAGAAGCAACGGAGAGGCGCATGGCTGGGACTGAGTGTGTTGGATCTCCTATTTTCAAGGCCATGTACCCACAAAAACAGTGACATCCAGTGACCAAGTCATGTAATGTTGTGGGATATCTAAACAAATCAAAGGCCTATACTATACACTGTGCTTCCTTGTCTCATATGAATCGTTTCAACGGCGCCATTGCTAGACAACCAAGCCTACAAGGACCTACCCCCTGAGGTTACAAACAAAACTTTGGATTAGTTGTCTGCTGATTAACAAGCAGTTGAGGATCTATTGAGATCTATTGAGGATAGCCATACGAAAGGCTAAGGAAGGAGCAGCACATCAGGAGAATTCAGCAAGTATGTAATAGATTAATATATAGTAAAATAGAACGCCTGCTGGGCAAGCGGTATGCCTTCTTTCTTTGTTCCCACGCCAATATCAAATAGATGGAATCTGGCGTTTTGTTTTCCGCTGAGCACTACCAGCTCTAGCAGACCAAGACCGTCCACGGCGGTAGCGGCAAGGTCCGGTCCCATAGCAGTCTGCAGTTCGCCGATTCGCCTGGTAGCCATCGATGGTATCCACATGGCAAGAGCTTAAATACTGCCCGAGGCCACGATTTTCGATGGCCCGCCGCAGCTCCTGCAAGGTGGTGGTGATTTTAGTCTTCCGCTTCTTTGGGGTGGCACCTTTTCAAGCACAAGTAGAGAAGCTGAGCTACACAAAGTCCCTAATTAAGCAACTCAAGATCTGATCTAAACTTGAGGCCAGAGGGGGTGAACGAAAGCTAGCCGGGCTTCCGGTGGTCTGCTGCTGCTGCTGGTGCTGCTGCTGCCGCTGCTGCGCTGGGCGCTGCTGCGCTGGGTGCTCTGCAGGCGCCGGGTCGTCTGCTGCTGCTGCTGCTGCTGGCGCTGGGTGGTCTGCTGCGGCTGCTGCTGCTGCGGCGTTGGGTATGCTGCTGCTGCTGCTGCTGCTCCTTTGTGGTTTGCTGCAGCTGCTTGGTGGTAGACTGCAGAAGCTTGGTGTGCTGCAGCTGCTTGGTGGTCCCGCTCACCGCGCGCAGGGGGGAGTCGAACCGCGGGGGGGGGGGCCCATAAGATTGATTTAATCAATTATTTGAGGTTTCTGAGGTGCGTCCACCCCGTCACTTAACTTGCTAAAGCAAGAGCAACTCCAGCTAGCTAAGGCTAGCTTTCGTGATCAGAATCTTTATATAACTTTATGATCCAAGTTGTGTAAACCCCTGTATGCCACCGCGTTTTGTCGCGAGTGGGCCTTTTCGGATTTGGATACCGAGTTCCGATGATACATGATGATACCCACTTGCAGTCGGACACGGTCACTGGGGTCTTCCCCAAGAATGGCGGCAAAAGCTGGTGGTAATTCCATGTCCTGTGACAGCACATACGTGAATAAAGACTCTCCAGATCCCGCTGCCACCTGCTTCTGCGCCAGATAGGCAGTCAAAACCACGATCTGATTCGGTGGATAGCCCGCGTTGATGATCCTCTCCAACGTTTCAGCCACAGCCTCTGCCTGGAGGGAGGTTGACAAGTCGCCGGTTCGATCATGTCACGAGCAGTTTTGACTTTTGCGCGGCCCCGTGACACGAAGGGATGTTCCTTCACTTTCTCCAATACTCTCTCAAGCAGAATGAACAAAAGAGCAAATTCTGGGGCTCAGGAATTATGATCGATGTCTCATCGAACGCGGAGTCTACCATCTACTTAGATGGGCCGGTGTGTTGTTAAATAGTTAACATAGTTATGTTAAAATTAACAAAGTTAGTAACTAGTTATGTTAAAATTATGTTAAAATTACTAACTAGTTATAACTGTTAAAAATGTTGTTTTTTTTGTATAAAAATAATTCAATATATATATAGATTTTTTTTACGAAAAATGCTGGTGAAAACAAAAAAGAACAGGTAGAGCCAAAAAGGCTAATGTGTTTTGCAGTGGCTTTGCCAAGCCTAAAAGGCTAATGTCTTTGGCTTGGCCATGTTCATGGACACTGGTTTCCAAAACATAGTTGCAATGTACATGGAGCTTTTTTCCCTGAAGCTCCAAGGAGTCAAAGTTGTGACCTTGTTGGTGCCTTTGGCAAAGGTCACTGCAATCCAGAGTTGTGCCAAGGGCACAACTTCCAAATTCTCATCATCCTGCCATTCGGCAAAAGTCTCACACATCTTCTCCAAAGTGAAGCAGTTAATGATGCAGACATCATTTGTTGCATTGCTTAGGAAGGCAAGGATCTCCCCAGCATCAAATCGGTTTCCAGATTTGCTGGACAAGTAAACAATATCACCTCTGGAGCAAGACCCATACTTAATCCTGGCATGGTTGCTGGCTTGTACGTCATGCAGCTGTGAAAAAACTTGAGAAGCCAGAGGCAGCAATTTTTTGCTCAACTTCTTGCTTTGCAAAAGAGCTGGGCCAAATGCAAAGGCTTCAGGGTCAGCAACCCTTTCCATTTCAAGAGTGATGATTTCTGAGTACAAGGAATGTTCAAAAGCCTGCAAATTTTGAATGGTGGTCGCCACCCTTGCAGGCACCTTGTTCTTCCTCTCCATTGCAAAGCAACTGGGGATGCAATGGTGGTATTGCATCATTTGGTGCAAATGTAAAAGCCAATGGTGTTTCTTTATGAAAGGCCACTTCAGGTCTTTCCATAACTGGAGAATTCTCTCTGCTGTCAGCAAGAGCTGCTTGGGCTCAACAATGCCATGCCATGTGCTTTGAAGCAAATCAAGCATTTCACAAATGGCCAGGAAAACTGCAACTTCCTGTTGGCACACATTGGCTGGGATGCACACCACTCTCACATAGTGTGCAAGAATGCTGACCAGTGTCAGCAACTCACTAGCTGTGGCATTGATCTTTTTGTGCTTTTTGTGTTTAGCTATTCTTTTCTCATCAAACAAAGGTGCCAGCCTGATGTTGCCCAAATGGCTTGGCAATTGAAACAGCTGCACATAGCTCTTGAGCAGGTCCCATTGCTTGATCTCTTGGCAGAGATTGTAGCAAGCAAGATTCATCACCCCAGAAGAGAGAAGGCAATGCATCCAATCCCAGCAGTTCTGCTGAGTTGGCCTCAAGACAGATCTCAATTCATCATTTGCCAGAAGTGCAAATTTGGAATAGCTAATTCCACTTGCCTGCTCCCATAATCGAAACTCCTTATCTGAAACCCTTGAAAACCTATCAGACATCCTATCCCAACTCTGGAAGATCTCATTGTCAGAAACCAAGTGCAGCTCATTGAACTTACAAAACTTGGATACTTCAGATAAATTGACATCAACATCCTCATCTTCATCATGGTCAGCAGCCATTTGGAAAATATTGGCACATTGTTGACAGAAGCGACTGCCTGAGTCCCCCTTTGTGCTCCAACAGAATTTGGCAGCTTGGCCATCCATGATCATGAACCCAAGTTGTAGGCAAAGCCTGCCTGGTGCAAGACTGCCTTCAGGTTCTTGCAATTGTAAGCCCAGGTCAAGAACATTGCAGAAGGGGCTGTTGAAGATTGAAAGCAGCAATGCAGAAAAGACCTGGCTCAGGTGGCCATCCAAAGAAGAAACTATGTCACTTCTGATCAGCCCAACAGTGATCCATGCATCTTCATGCTGCATGGCCAAGTTAAACTGTTTGATTGAAGTGTATATTGCCCATAGTTTCCTTGTGGGTACATTGGCAAGAACATTGCCAGGAGTCACCTCGTCACTGTAGAAAACAAGACTGAGGGGGCCATGATGGGTAGCCATGGTTTGCTTGAGCAAACCATGCCACCCTCCTCCTGCTTTGTAGGCTCCATGCAGCCAAGAAAGGAGATTGACTAAAGTCACACTCTTTCTGCTACCATCCTTGCAAACAAGTTCATGCTCCAAAAGCAAAGGACCATACCCAGACCATTGGCTCAAGCCAGCCCTGGTCCCCTCTCTCATTTGCTTTGAATTTGACAATTCTGGACAGCCTTCATCTTTGATGTGCTTCAAGATTGCTTGCAATGATGCTTTGGTTGTGTGGGGAATACTTTTCCTCAATTTGGTCAGCTTGGCCAGCTTAGTTGGCCTATCATCCATGGCTTTGCTTTGGCATGGCCAATCATGTGCAATGTAAAAACTTTGTGTTGCCTGACAGCAGACTGGATGTGATGCAGAGCTTGTTCTTAAGAGCACAGTTGGGTTGCTGTGTATGCAAAGCACATGTGTGATTGCAAAGTGGATCTTATGGACAAGCTTTGTTTCATATCTTTGGACCCTTTGTTTTGCATGCCTTCTTGGGCCAGAGGAAGGGTATATATGCTTGTCAAAATGCAAATGCAAAGCAGTGGAATGCTATCCAAAAATTGTATTTCAGTTTGCTATTAGATTGGAAGAAACATAAGGTCAGATGCTGTCCAAACAGGCTGTATTTCAATGTACCTGCATAATTTATAAGATTGAGAAATACAAAAATGTTTTGGGAACAATGCTTGAGTTGCCAAGCCTAAAAGGCTAATGAAAATATGCACTCCCTGTACATACCATGTTTTGGGAACAATGCTTGAGTTGCCAAGCCTAAAAGGCTAATGGAAATATGCACTCCCTGTACATACCTGATGTGCTTAGAGAAGGGTTTGGTAACAGGCCAAAAAGGCCAATTGCTCCCACACAAAAGCACAAGTGAAACCAAACTTGGCCAATGTGGACTCACATGCTTTCTCAACATAAGACACACAGCTCACATACTTTTTCTCATCTTGCTAGAAGAGCTTCAGGTGCACAAGCCTGTTGTTCATCACAGCTTGGCCTTTGGTGTAAAGAAGGCCAAATCATCCTCCATTTGCCTTCTCTGGCAAGCGTTAAACATGCTAATGCCCTCCCTCACTGCATAGGCCCTGAAGAGCTTCTTCAAGATAGGGTCATTGTTCACAAGGGCAACAAAAGCAATTGCATCCTCAGTGCAAGCACAAATTGAAGGCTTTTGCAACTGACAGTTTGACAGCAGTGCATTGACAAAGCAAGCTGGGTTGTGAATGAGTTCTATAAGAGATAGAACAAGCCAAGGCACCTGGCGAAGGTTCTCCAAGAGCATATACTTCTCAGGGGTCTTGATGCTGTCGTACACCATTTCTGGTGGCTTGCCATAGTCCTGGAAGATGATTCTGATGGATTCCGTGTCATCAAGCTTCTGCAACATCTTCACTCCAGCCATCTTCTGCTCAAAGGCCATAAACCTGTCGGTAGACATGGGCCTTGCTCTGGCTTGGGACCAGCCTGTCACTCTGTTTTGAACCACAAAGCCTCAAGCACAGCATTCAGTTGTAGGTTGAGGAAACTGGCTGCCTGTGAAGTGTTGCTATGACCTTTTTGAATTGGCAATATGAATGCATTGAATGCAAATATGCATATGTTTTTTCACAGCTGATGTGCCAAGAAAACAGCAGCTAAGCCTAAAAGGCTATAATGTGATTTGAAAATTTAGCCCAAAAGGCTAATACAGCTAAGCCTAAAAGGCTATAATGTGAATTGGAAATTTAGCCCAAAAGGCTAATTTGATTGGAAAATGTGTTTACCTACATTGCTTAAAGGCTCATATGAAGGTGTCATGAAGATCAGCTATTGAAAAGTCATTGCATCTATTTTTTTCTACCCCTTGGCTTGTGGCTGTCTTTGTTGCAGCCTTGACCCCTGACATGGCACATCAAAGGATTTCCCTGATGTTGTGAAACATCATTGCATTGACCTTTTCCTTTTCTGCTCATTCACATAATCAACCCATTTGGCTCTGCCATTGAGCCTTACCCCAGCAAATTCTGCAAAGTCGCAGCTGGAGCAACCTGCAGGTGCCCCTCTGCACCTAGTACACCCCCAACAATTCCTCTTTGGTTTTGTCTTTGAAGGAATGCTGCTGGCTGGCTTCTTCATGACTGCCTTTTCTTCTTTTGTTGGTTTGCTCTTGCAAGCATGATGCTTGCCAGTCCCCTTGCCTGTTGTTGCTTTTGGACTCTTCTTAGACTTATTGCCTTTTCCTTTTCCTTTAGTCTTGCCTTTGCCACCAGACTGCCTGGACTGCAGCCTTTCAAAGGCTTCCTGCTCAAACTGTTCCAAAGTCTTGTTTGTCTCCACAGGCAGCTTTTGCTCTTCTACTGGGTCAGGTTCCACAGTTGGAAGTGCAAGCACTTCATTGGAAGGCTTGGATTGCAAGCTCTGGGAAGAGGAGCTGTGATGCAAAGAGCTTCTAGTGACTTCAGCAGGGCGGTGTGCGTCTAAATCCTTTGCCATGGCCAGCAGTTGCCTCAGAAAGTCCATGCTGCCATGAAGAGAAGAAGCTGGATCAGGTGCTGGTGGCTTCTTCGACTCCAGCTGAGTGCTAGAGGACCTTACCTTGATTTGGGTCTTCAAAGAATTGCATGTACTAATGGCTTGATCTGACAGCTGCTCTGGCCAATCATCTTCTTTGTAAGCAGCTTTCATAAAGTCCTTAGATTGACAATTTAGCACCACAACCACACATTAACAGTTCCCATAGTCATCACCACAATGCCCCCAT